TGTAGTTAACATAGGCGTGGAGATATATTTCGAGGATTTAGTTAATTCGTTCTGTTTGTCTGTCGGTTTGCAGGTGGAATGCAGTGGATATTAATTGTTTGATACTGAGTTGTGATGTGATTAACTTCCAGAATTTAGAAGTGAAGATCTTATCTCTATCTGATATAATTCCTTTGGGCGTTCTATAGTTAGCGATGATATACTTGAGAAATATGTAGGCATATTCTTCAGCGTTACTTGCTTCTTTGTATAGAATGAAGTAGGCGTACTTTGTGAGTTGGTCCACAATAATAAGAACGCTGTTAAAGTGTGTTCCTATAAGGGGTTCTTAAGACTTTAGTAATTTGACGATAAAATTGAGGGATATAGATTGCTAAGCGGTTTGCAGCATAGGCAAGGGTTATAGCATGCTGTACAGCTGATGTTAAGCAGGTTTGCTTTTCAGGCAGACCTCATAATCCTTAATTGCTTTTGCTACTTATTCTCTAGTAACCTTTTCTCTATATTATTATTATAGTTATTTCTAAGTTTTTGTGATTCCTTAGTGACTATATGCAGGGCGAGCATAAAACTCCATAATTGCTTTGTCGTCTAGTTCGCTAGGCGGGCTAGTATTAGATCGTCCAGCCATCATCAAGAGTTTAGTTGCTAGCATTAGGTCTCTATTGTTGTTTCCTTTGAGAATCACCTAGGTTTCTTTAGGTACTAGGATGTTATAGTCTAGTCGTCAGCTAAGAGCGTCAGCTCTGCTATTATCTGATCCTTTGCGGTAGATAATTCAGAAGTTAAATTCTGATAGGAATTCTAACTATCTAATCTGTTGTTTATTTAATACTTTTGAAGTTATAAAGTATGAAAGGTTCTTATGGTCTAAATGTATAAGTACTTTGTAGGTGGTCCTAAGAGCTTAGGTCTTTATTCCTTAAAGGCTTTGATGATTGCCATGAGTTCCTTATCATGAACCTGATAGTTAAGTTTAGGTCTGTGGAGCTTGCGAGAAAAGAAGGCATATAGGTGTAGTTATCCTTCTGAATCTCATTAAGATAATTATGCTCCTATTGCATAGTCAGATATATTAGGTTCTACTTTAAACTGTTTTATTAGATCTGGAATAATTAAGATAGGTTTGCTAGCAATAAGATCCTTGATCTTCTGGAATGCTGTTCGTTATGGTTCTTCCCATATAAAGGGTGTGTCTTTGCGGCTGAGGCTTGTGAGAGCTGCGTTGATCTTGCTATAGTCTTTAATGAATTTGCGGTAGAAGTTGATGAAACCTAGAAATCCTTAGACTTCCTTGAGGTTGTTAGGTACCAGCTATTCCTTGATGGCTTTGACTTTGTTTTCTGATATACAGACTTTTCTAGGGGTGATAGTGAATCTGAGGTATTCCACCCTCTATGTGTAGAATTCGTTTTTCTCAGGTTCAACTAATAGCTTGGCTTCTTAGAGGGCTTATAAGATGTGGTGTACATCCTCCTTATGTTTTTTAAGTGTTGATGAGAAGATGAGGATGTTGTCGAGATAGACTACTACGCAGATATCGACGTATTTGCGTAAGACTTAGTTGATCATATTTTGGAATGTTGCAGGGGTGTTAGTGAGGCTGAAGGGTATGACGAGGTACTTGAAATATCCTTTTCAAGTTCTAAAAGCGGTCTTCTATTCTTCTCCTTGCTTCATTCTGATCAGGTTATAAGCTCCTTTGAGGTTGAGGGCTGTAAACCAGTTAGCTCTATAGAGGAGTCGTCTTATTTTGTTGATAAGCGGTAGTAGGTAGTGGTTCTTGATTGTTATTTTGTTAAATATGCAGTAGTTAACGCATAATTATAGTTTTCTGTTCTTTTTAGGTATAAATAGGATTAGGCTTCCTGCTGGTGACGTTGAGGGTCTGATGTATCCCTTCTTAAGGTTTTCTTTAAGGTATTTATCTAAGGCTTCTATCTCTGTCTAGTTGAGTCTGTAGATTTTATTGAAGTGTGGTTCCTTCCCTTTTTTGAGGGGTATTTTGTGGTTGAAACTGGTATGTTTGGGTAATCCTGTTTCTAATTCGGCTGCAAAGAGTTTCTCATAAATTCTATATTCTTCTGGGATAGACAGAAGTAGATCATCCTTTTGTTTAAGATCTATCGTTATTAATAGTTATGATTAAGCTTCTTTTGCTTTGAAGTAGTAGATATATCGTTTTGTTGTTCCTTGTCGTATTGATTTGTTTGAGGCCTGATTCTGACAGGGCTGCTTAGGAACTGAATCATTATGGTCCTAATGGAGTTAGCCTTTATTCCAATCTATCTGTGGGTTGCTTATTTATAGCTAGGGTAATCCTAGCACTATGTTATATATTCCTAGATTAGCAATATCAAATTAGATTCTTTCTTTTCGATTCAGGTAGCTTATTTTGAGGGGCGCAGTCTTATGATAGATAGTACCTCTTTTATACTTAAATTCTTCTCCTTCTGCTATATATAACTGATATGGTTGTTCTTTTCCTCCCTATTATATTTCTAGCCTATTGATAGCTTGGGGGGTAATAAAGTTTGCTTCAGCTCTGCTGTCGATCAGCATAAGTGTTATCTGCTGGTTGATAGTAACTTTGAGTTTGATATTACCCTTATATCCTTATGATATTTAGTGAATAGATCTTATGTTTGTTGCCTGTTATGATCTGTCGTCAGTAGGTAAGTCTAGTTTTTTAACTGCTCTGGTTATCCTAGGTAGGTGATTTGCTTTCCTTCTTATCATGCTTTTGCAAGGCTGTTTTCGCAGATCCTAACCTGTGGGGGTCTAGGTCTATTCTTTGCGATTCTCTAGGCGTATACCTTTTCTTAGTAATATACTTAGCACTCATCTTATTAGCATTTATCTTATATTATGTTATTATTATGTTAACATCTTATAGGAAATTATAGGCTAGATTTAAAGACTATAAGGCTGTATTTAAATAGTATTATAGTCTATCTAATCATAATAGAGGTTAAGTAGATCTCATAGATAGGCTTATCGTTATATCTTCTGGGATAGAACTAGTAGTTATGCTTCTCTCCTATATGTTCCTTGCATTTGTTATGGAAGCACTAGGGCTAGAAGAGGGTTTAGTTGTTACGACCCGTTATGCATGGATAACAGTTGACCGACCCACTTAGGCGTCGGGCGGCTAGGACAGGACATTTGTACTGCAGGATCACGGGAACAACAGGAACTCACTCGGTAACAGAAGAACTATGGTCCAAGTCATGTGATGATAAGATAACGACCATATTGGATCAATATGATCCAACACAACTTGGGGGCCAAACGATCATTCTGGATCGGAATGATCCAGATCGACCTAAGGTACAAAGGAACATGTTCAGAATTAGACTTATATATAATGACCCTGAGCCTGGCTCATGGTCAGACTTCTATAGCTCTTCAGCAATCAACTTAGTATTCATCCTCACGGATACTCTCAGCTTACCTTCACTGCAAATCACTTATTGAGTCTAAGACTGATCACCTTGGCCTCTGAAGAACCGATCTACTACAGCCTACGAACTACGACCTACGACCACGACCCAGTGTACTGTTAGAACGTATCAATCCCCAGCTTCTGTTAGCAGACCCTACTGTCGGATAGCTGACCGTAACAACTAGGTCGTGGTCGTAGGTTGTAGTTCGTAGGCTGTAGTAGATCAGGTCTTCAGAGGCTAAAGTGATCAGTCTTAGACTCAATAAGTGATTTGCAGTGAAGGTAAGCTGAGAGTATCCGTGAGGATGAATACTAAGTTGATTGCTGAAGAGCTATAGAAGTCTGACCATGAGCCAGGCTCAGGGTCATTATATATAAGTTCCAAACAGTGTTCTTTATCTATCCCAGAGTGATCACCTAAGTGCGTAAGGTGATTGCGATCAGTTGGCAAGACCAACTGATCACTGAGCGTTCCCTCCTGTACTCCACTGATCGTTTTCTTATCTTATCGTCACGTGATTTGTACCATAGTTCTTCCGTTCCGAGTGAGTCCCTGTTGTTCCTGTGATCCTGCGGTACAAATGTCCTGTTCTAGCCGCCCGATGCCCAAGTGGGTCGTTCAGCTGTTATCCTTGTTTACGGGTCGTAACACAGCGCCCCCAGCTGATATACACTCAATAATAGATACCCAGGCTCGCAAACCAGGCTGCTTCTTCCTTACTGACTTAGTCGCAGCAGTGCCTAGCACTAGCCTATTATCCCCTTTACCCTCAAGGATACCAGTCTCATCCATATTATATCTGTTAGCTGGTTTGATAGCCTGGATGTGAGGTATGGCGAGATATTTGAACCAGTCCCTAATAACCTCAGTAGATGCCCCATTGACACGCCTGAAATCAATAGATCGACTTCTCTAGACCTTGATAGATAGGTTTCTTCTTATAAAGCCATCTATCCACCTCTTGCCAAGAGGTTGGGTGTCCCCCATAGCTTGGGGGATGCGATAAGCGAAGTCCTTCAGTTGTTGATAGGTTACTGGCAGCCCAAGGTCTGCCTGGGCAGTCACCCAAGTGGCCAGGCTGGCCTCCTGGCCAGCAGAGAGCCTCTAGAGGTCTTGAAATGCTTCTTGCCTTGGTTGGTGGCCTTTTGTACGGCTTATAAGCGTTAATCGTGGCACACCCCATCGCCTGGAGGCAGTGCGAGTAGATATACCATTTTTGATGTCTTTAAGCGCCTGGATAACCTCATTTTCGGTATACTGTTTCATTGTATAATAAAAAAGATATTCTGAAAGAATGATGGAAATTGATTAAGGATTGAAAATGTTGCGGTAGTTTGAAAATTGGGTATAGTAGTTAATGGGGTGGCTGGGCGGCATTTTATAGGTGGTCGAAATGCAGGGGTGGTCGAAAAGTGGGTGCTTTGACTTAGGAAGTCCAGACTGGAAGCCAAGTCAAGAGATCTTGCCAATCACATTGACTTGGAGTGCCGGAAAAGAACGTTTTGGTGTGCGTATAATCTCAATACGTACCTCAGTGCCGCTTTGGGTCGGCCCATGACGTTCCACGATGAGGATATCGATCAGGAATTGCCCCTATGCATTGATGACGAACAACTCCGCTTTGGCTTGTCGCCTAAGCCGGTTGTCTGCGGGCCTTCCGTAACTTCCGGCAGCGTGGCTCAAATAAGGTACGAAGACTCGATCTTTCGCCGAGTTGACGGCAAGCTAAAGTGCTACTCAGGTTATCTCGAATCCTTGCACGAATTCTCCGGGCTTTTTACGGAATACGTACTCCATCTACCGAAGAGCACTTTGTATTGGCCGACAAGTTCAGCCAAGAGTTATCAGAATGGCGAGATCACATATCCTATCTTCTAGATGCCGGCGGGAGCTCTGTGATCTTCGTCAAGTTGGTTCTGCGTCAACGCGACGTTCTCAAGCTTGCGTACTGGCACGCCCAAGCCCAAATCCTCGTCTATCGACCATTTCTGTTAAAGACATTTTCTACCGTCGACTCGAATGACGAAACCTTTTTGCTAGCTAGGCAAGGACAGACTCAACAGAACATCAAAAGTTGCATCGACGCGGCAATGAGTATTGCTGAGCACATTAGTACTATTGACGCTGTTGGGGAGTTCTACAGCACCTTGTTTGTGAGTCAAGTACCCTGAAGATACCTGAAATTCTTATGACTTGATATGTTGGTTACTGAAGCGAATCCTGCCCTAGTTCATCCCGTATTACGGCTTCAGCGCTGTAGTAATTCTCTACGTCTACGCCATCCAACAACGAGCAGAGGCTCCGGAGAAGTATTTTCTTTGCTTTCAGCTGGCTTCAAAATGCCATTCCCTGTATGAGCGAAACTCAGTGAAGGGGACCTTGACTCAACGCTACGGGGTCGTTCTACAAGAACTGCGCCTCGAAGTTCTCCGAAACAACAACTACCTGGCTTCTACTTCACCCATCCAGGCTGGTGGAGACTCCTTGCCCAGCGAAATGAGGACAGCAAGAGATTCTTCAACAGCAACTGCGACTTACAGCGTAAGAGCGAAAAGCCAATTTGACGACCTGCACATCGGCTCAAAGGCTGCAACATCTCAGATAGAGAACACCACCGAGAACCAACTAGTCAATGGCAATGCTGGCCATGTAACTTCAGTTGACGCTTTAAATACCGAACTCTTTCAAATCAGCGATTGGGGCCAATTTGACTCTTTGGTAAGTGCAGAAGTCATCTGATGTTTCTAGAGATTGTCAGCTTACTGACACGACCGGCGACACAGGTTACGGGCGGCATCGGAAGCCTGGACGCCTTTGTCCTCGGTGAGCCTAACGAGGCCTGGGAAAATATCAACACTTCAGGCTTCAACGCCTGAATCGGCGTATCTCGATCAACCCTTCCCCCCTCGGCCGGCATCCGCAGCTACCGTGCCGAATTTTCAGAGCCGCGAAAACCGCCGGGTTGGCGTCTCCAGAATCGGACCGTACTCGGGCCAACCACCGAGTCTGCAGAGAGGGAAAAAGACGCGAGTCAAGCGAGAGTCCAGTTTAATTACCCACTTCGCTGAAATATGTCTGCGCACTACGTCATGCCGGAATTCTGTCCTGCGTTGAACCCAGTACGTAAAAGACCTCGGGCTCCCGGCGGCCATGGCGGAATGTGGACGCGGGCTTTTTTCGACACCTTGTAGGGATAAAGAGCCGCCAATGGCGAAGGGACCAAATGACATCATTCCGCTGCAGAACGTGCTGACCGAAGGTTTCAGTCGCTCAAATGCAAGCTTCCCGTTGGTTGCCTGTTCGGCAGAGCGGGACCTGAAATCTGTTGTTATCTCGTCCCTCAACGTGGTCCCTGGACGGGTATCTGAAGAGGCACAGCGTTGATCATAACGGCGCGTACTCCGATCTTCTCCCGTAGATCTCCTCGATGCTTGAAGAGTCAGAGAGAGAAAGAGAAAGATGCTTTCCGATCGGAGACGATGGCTATGACCACATGTAACAATCAGGCACAACATTGACCTTCCCGAGAACCTTGACTCGCCCATCCATCTGAATGGTGATCAATGAAATGCAGCCTGCTTGAAACCTGCCTGCGCTCTTTTTCTGGAACCCACTTGCCCCTCCATTGCCCCTCCACCGCATGGTTCCTGTTGATTCCCACCCCACCTTGTCACAGGCCGCCGATCACTACAAATCTGCCATTGACAATCAACAGCTCGCAGTTCTGTGATTTCTTTTCTTCTCTTGCTCTTCATCAGCAACTTTCTACCCAGATTTCAAAGTCTCAAGCCATTCAACCGCCAAAATGCCTCAGGTGAGTAACATCGGAGCCCATTCCGGAGCTCCGTTCAGGTCCTGCGATGACAATGATGCTTACCACCAGAGCCGTAGGTTAAGTGCATCCTCTTCGACTGCGACAACACGCTCGTGTTGTCCGAGATCTCGGCCTTCACCGCCTGCGCGCAGCTCGCCAACGAGATCCTCGAGAAGTACGGCATCGAGAAGCGCTACCAGGGCGTCGAGCTCATGCACAAGTACGTCGGCCGCAACTTCCCCAGCATGATGGCCGGCCTCTTCGAGGTGCACAACTTCACCATGCCCGCCGACGAGCTCGACACCTACACCGCCCGCGAGCTCGAGCTCACCATCTCGTACCTGCGCAAGCAGGCCGCGCCCTGCAAGAACGTCGTCCCCGTCCTCGACAAGATCCACAAGGAGGGCAAGTACGCCAAGGCCATCGTCTCCTCCTCCGCCATGCCCCGTGTCGTCGCCTCCGTCGAGACCATCAAGATCGACCAGTACTTCGGCAAGCCCAACGAGGGCATCTTCTCCGCCGCGAGCAGCATCGACCCCCCGACTTCCAAGCCCAACCCCGCCATCTACCTCCACGCCTGCAAGGTGCTCGGCTTCGAGCCCAGCGAGTGCATTGCCATCGAGGACAGCAGGAGCGGCGCGACCGCGGCGAAGAACGCCGGCATCCCCCTGCTGGGCTACGTCGGCCCCTATTACGACGAGGAGAACCCCGAGGAGAAGGTCGCTGCCCACGTCAAGCTGTTCTCCGAGGAGCTCGGCGCGTTCGAGGTCATGCACGACTGGAAGGACTTTGAGAGCATCTTGAACAAGTTCGAGAGCTCATAGATACCCCCTTTGACTATTTTTGAGGCATGAATGAGTGATGAAAACAAGTGGTTGAACACCATCAATTGGCGGATTTCCTACGTATTTGGCAAATGATAGACATAGATCTTGGGCGAATAGAAAGGCTGCAATTCGGGCGATTGATCCCGACACATTAGTGCGTGCTAGTGCTCTCATGTTGGTCTCGCAATGTCTTCTCAACAGTGAAAAAAAAGGTCAAAGGAAAATTGCATGTTGGTCAGATGAATCGCGGTGAATCTGTGTCATCTGATGACCATGTCCTGGTTCCCAGATTTTGAGCGCATGACACGCGACAACGGCGCAACAGCCACTGATAAAAATAGCCATCAACGATGCTTGAGTGGCCGTATTCCCGTGGAAATGCAGGAAAAATGTCTCTGTCTCGTGGAGGCCTGAGTTAATTGATTGCCTTTCACATCAGTTGCCCAGCACTAGGAAGAGTTGAGGCTCAAGCGCGACCTCCATTGCCTTAGTTGCTGGATCATTTACTCGCAGTATCCTTGACTTTGTTTAGAAACATACGGCAAGTTATTGTCTCAACCTCAACTCCAAATACTGGTCTTGGCATCGGGTTCATGAAACAAGGACTGAGGCAGCATAAATACGCTGGACGACCCTTCAATCCTTCAGTAGTTCTCCATCTACACAACAGAGTTCTGGGTTGCATTTGAACATAATTACAACCACTCATCTGAATAGTTGAATCTGCGGAAACCCCTCACTCATCAACTCGTCATCATGAAAATACCTAAGATTCCTGTTCTCGTTTCGATGGCTCTTGGCGTCATAGCCCGCTGCAAAAAGGCCACCGCCAGTTTGTGCGAGTCGAATTCTTCGGCGGTCGCGCAAGGCTTTACGTCCAGCTTCACATGTCAATCGTCCGAGGAGCTTCCTTGTCAGACAGAGTGCATCACCACTGGCACCAAGGGAATCGAGGTGGCGAAGTGCTGCAAAAGCGCATGTACGACGACCCTTCGAACATTGACGCAAGATTGTTACTGACAGATCACACAGGCACGTGAGGCAATGCCTATCCATGATACCACAACGCTATAAGAGGATCGCGAAGCAGATTTGCGGACGGAGAGGAGAAGAGAGGATCAGCATGCATTTCTCAAACAGCATCATTCACTCCCAATGAGCGTACCTTAATCAGAGTGTTCCGCGCATATACACAATTTATCCATGGTATTCTGTCGATAAGACTTCCACCTTGGAGCTCTCAAAGGCCATAGATTTGCCACGCAAACAAAATGATGGCAATTGACTTTTCTGGCGTTCCATCGTGTGATTAAAGCTTCTTTGTCCACGCACCCTGCTTATCGCCGCAAGCGAGAGCAAACGGGCCCCCGTAAACCACTAAGATCGCCCAATCCAAGGCGCTAAAAATCCCGCAACAAAAGATGCTCATTAGCGCAAAGAGTGACTAACCAGAGTCGCATCTAGGCTTGTCGATAAATGAGGAGAATTATGTAAACACACAGCACACTTGCGGGTTCACCCGGCCGGAGCAAAAATTTTGCCATCCTCCTCAGTGTCTGTGTCAGTCGGGGTCCCAGTTTGAGTCAACCTTGTTCGCCTCTTTTTCTACGTCCTCAAGGTTGCCCGCGGAGAACATTGTCCCGACCTGTTCGTCCTTTATTTTTGTGTTGTTGTGCCGACCTGAGATTTTCGGGTCCATCGAACAACATGGCGAACGACTTGGAGACGCAGCACGCCCAGCCGGTGCATGATGACAAGCAGGCAACAGAGGTCTCCGGCGCTGAGCAGCCCCCGGCGCCGGCCGGACATAAGGCCAAAGGCTTTCTCCGCACGGTGTTGACGGCCGGGCGGGTCGAGGAGGGCGGCATCGAGCCGATTCCGATCGAGGCCCGGACAGCGACGAAGTACTTTAATGCCTTTACGATTTGGTGCTCGATCAATACCAATATCCTGGCGTAAGTAGAAAAGTTCTTTGAGAAAGGGGTTGCTGGTGCATTTTTGCTGACATTCTTGGCAGAATTACGTTCGGTATGCTGGGTCCGGTGTCTTTCGGCCTCAGCCTCCGAGATTCGGCGCTCGTCATTCTCTTCTTCAACTTGCTCTCGACGCTGGCACCGGCGTACTTGTCGACTTTGGGTCCGAAGACTGGTATGCGCCAGATGATCCAGGCTCGCTTCAGCTTTGGGTGAGTTCGCAACCTAACTTGCGATTAGTGAGATCATGATTTTTTTCACGGCCGGTGAGCTAACGAATAATCCTTAGTTACTATCTTGTGTCTGTTCCTGTCATTCTCAACCTGGCTACTCTCACGGGTTTCTGTGTCATCATCTGCGTCATCGGAGGCCAATGCCTCTCTGCGGTCTCCGAGGGCGACCTGTCGACCGCCGTTGGCATCGTTCTCATCGGCGTTGCCGCCCTATTGATCTCTTTCTGCGGCTTCAACGTGCTGCACTTCTATGAGGGCTACGCGTGGATGCCGGCTCTGGTCGCCATCATCATCGCTGTGGGCTGTGGTGGAGACCAGCTGAAGGCCCAGGCGACCCCGGAGCCTGCGACTGCGGCTGGGGTTCTCAGCTTTGGTGGTGTCATTGCATCATACATGATCCCGTGGGCTTGCATCGCATCAGACTTGACGACCTACTTCGACCCCACGCCCCGTCTCTCATCGTAAGTCGCAACATTCCCCATAACACATCTCTATAACGGCCTTCACTGACGCGCACCAGCCACCGCATCTTCGCCTACAGCTTCCTCGGCCTCGTCGTGCCCACCATCCTCCTCATGACCCTGGGCGCGGCCATCGGCGGCGCCATGGGCAACATCCCCGCCTGGCAGACCGGCTTCGACAACACCCTCGTCGGCGGCGTCCTCGGCGCCATGCTCGCCCCCGCCGGCGGTTTCGGCAAGTTCATCCTCGTCGTGCTCGCCTTCACCCTGCTCGCCAACATCTCCGGCACCATGTACGCCATCACCCTCAACTTCCAGACCCTCATCCCGGCGTTCCGCATCCCGCGCTACATCTTCTCCATCATCGTCACCGCCATCATCATCCCCATCGCCATCAAGGCCGCCGGCGACTTCTTCCTGAGCCTGGAGAACTTCATCGCGCTCATCGGGTACTGGTCCGCATCGTTCGTGGGGATTGTTGTTGCGGAGCACTTTGTGTTCAGGAAGGCTAACGCGAAGGCGTATGATGAGGATATTTGGGACGTGCCGGCGAGGTTGCCATGGGGCG